TGAGGCTGAGGCGCTGAAGGCCGAGGCGAAGGAGCGAAGGCATAAGTGAAGGCATGATGCTTGAAGGCGACTGAGGCTGGGCAGAGGGGCGCTTGAGGCAAGGCTGATGCTGAGGCAGGCTTAGCTGATGCAGGCTGAGCTGGAGCTGAGGCAAGCCTGGGCTGAGGCCGAGCTAATGGACTGAGGCAGGCTGAGCTGAGGCTGATGCTGAAGGCAGGCTGAGGCTGATCTGATGCAGAGGCTGAGGCATGCTGAGGCTGAGGCCGAGGCTGAAGGCAGACTGAGGCTGAGGCTGAAGCAGGCTGAGGCTGAGGCAGGCTGAGGCTGAGGCTGAGGCTGAGGCAGGCTGATGCTGAGGCAGGCTGAGGCTGAGGCTGAGGCTGAGGCTGATGCAGGCTGAGGCTGAGGCAGGCTGAGGCTGAGGCTGAGGCCTGAAGGCTGAGAGGCTGACGCTGAGGCTGAGGCTAGCAGACTGAGGCTGAGGCTGAGAGGCAGGCTGAGGCTGCGGCTGCGGCAGGCTGAGGCAGGCTGAGGCTGAGGCTGAGGCTGAGGCTGAGGCAGGCTGAGGCTGAGGCAGGCTGAGGCTGAGGCCGAGGCTGAAGGCAGACTGAGGCTGAGGCTGAAGCAGGCTGAGGCTGAGGCAGAGGCAGGCTGAGGCTGAGGCTGAGGCAGGCTGAGGCTGAGGCAGGCTGAGGCTGAGGCTGAGGCTGATGCAGGGTGAGGCTGATGCAGGCTGAGGCTGAGGCCGAGGCTGAAGGCAGACTGATGTTGAGGCTGAAGCAGGCTGAGGCTGAGGCTTAGGCAGGCTGAGGCTGAGGCTGAGGCTGGCTCAGGCTGTGACTGCGACTGCCGTTCCCATTGCGACTGTCATCGCGAATGCGATTACGACTGCGAGAACAGCAGAATTCTACAACTGGATTATCATTTGAATCTTAAGGGGAATGATTCCAGATATGCTCCTACACATCGCTGTTAGGTTGTTTTGCCGGGATAATTCATATATACATATATATATATATATATATGTATGCGTGTGTGATCGTAACGATAAGGGCCGAGAAGCCGCACGGCCGTGCGGAGCAACACGCGCAGCGCAAGCGAGCTGACGCCGGGCAAAGCGAGGCACCCAGGGACGGCCTGGGGAACACAAGGGGAAACGGAGGAGGAGGAGGAGGAAGAGGAGGAGGAGGAGGAGGAGGAGAAGAAGGAGGAGGAGGAGGGGGAGGGGGAGGGGGGGGATCCGTTGCCATTTTGGCTCAAGGACGCGTTTGGAGGGCCGAGCGCCACATGCGGCCGCTCGCGCTGTCCTCCTGCCTCCTCGCGGGGGCGCCTGCTTCGCCGCTGGCGCTAGCCGGAGCGCCCGCCCCGGTGAGGCGCCCGCGGCCCTTCGCGACATCCGGGGCCGGCGTGGGGTTGCTCTCTGGCTCTGGGGCCGCAGCGCTCGCCGCCCTGCCCACGGGCGGCGTCGCTGTGGGCACCTTCGGCAGCGGCGCCTGGGCCTTCGATCCAGCGGAGGAGCAGACGCCTCAGCGCCTGCTGGACGGAGCCTCCGCCACCTGCCTGGTGGCGCTGTCGGGAGGCTGCCTGGCGGCCGGGGGCGACGGTCTGCGCCTGATCAACCTCTCGCACCCCGAGCCCCCGCGCAGCGCTCGCCTCGCCCTTGACGTGGAGGGCATTAACTCCATTCTGGAGCTGGCCAACGGCGGCCTCGCGGTCGGCGCGGACTCCGGGCTCTACGTGCTCGCGGAGGAGCTCCTGCGATGCGGCGAGCGCGCGGACGCCCCGCCGCGGCGGTGGCCCAACGCCTCCGCCGGCCCGCCGCCGCCTGTGTCAGGGCCTCTGGCCGAGCGGTTCGTCTACGCGCTGACGGAGCTGCCCGGCGGCCTGGCCGCGGCGGGCACCGACCGGGGCGTGTTCTTGCTCGACGCCGCCGGGCTGCGCGGCCCATCCGCCGAGCCGCTCGCGGTCCTCGCGCCCGACGCGCACGTGGCCAGCCTG